CCCATTAACTACTACCTGCATGGAGTAATTACCAGCAGTCCTGATTGATTTGAGGACATAGCTGAGGCAGCCTCAGGCTTCACGATGGCACTATATGACTAGCCCGGTTGGTAAGCCGGAGGTCAATACGCAGGTATCGCTAGCGTATATTCACTTCGGGATTGGCAGGTCGCGAATACTCTATGATACGGATGCCGAGATCAAGAAACGAGCATTGAGTAACGGTAATTATTTCCGTTATCTTGATGGACTTGGTGAATGATCACATACTACTCACTCGAGTAAGCTATCAGATATACAGTGTTGGATGGATCATCTTGCGGACTCGTGATGGCTGTGACGATCGTATAGCTAGCCGGAAATATAATGATGGTGATTATGAAGATGTGCGCCTGGGAAAAAGAGACTCATTCGAGGCGATAAGCATTGATCACTTCATCAACCATGTGAGAGAAAGCAGTCCAGTTCTAATCAGATCAGCTGAGAAGTACGAGAACGGTTGATTGAAGGGAAGCTTATTGTTGGCTAGTAGCGACTATGACTATCTGATGCGCTGTGTAACCCAGAGTGTAACCGTTACTATAAACGGTGGATTCTGTACAAGGACGTGGAGCTCTCATCTATTGTTGGCGTAGCAAGCTTACGGAATCCGTAGTACGGAGGAGTAGGTAGACACAATGTAAAGAACTATGCCAACTACGGGGGTGTTTGAGATAGATGACGAGATCTCAGCTAAATTGAGCTGTAAACTCAGTTTATTGATGCCATCATTCATTGCTGTCGTTCATGCGTGCGGTGCGGCACTCGGTCATTGAGTTCACGTGGGTTACTCTCGTAAGAGTATGGCCTAGATTGGCATACAGTTGGCGATGAACCCGAAAACCCGAATGATATACCACCATCATGGTGGTATATGGTGGCACCATGATGGTGGTATATCAATCAAAACAGTAGGTCGCTCAGCGATAACCCAATTCGGGTTACTTAAATCGGAGTCTGTTTGATTTTGTTCGGCTGTCGGAGCATAGCTCTTTTCAGTTCGTTGTCGTATCCGAGCTTACAACGTGTTGTTGTTAGATTCACATGCGTATGCTTCGTGGGCATCCCCGGGGTGCCACCCCGTCCTCCCGTTGACTACAGTTCCTCCCAAACAATTCTTCTCAACTCTCCAGCTGGATGGTCCCTTCAGATTGCTGAGTCTATATGACTCCCGAGTCGGGAGTCCCGACAGTGTCGGGCCGGCACTCGAGACTCTCTTAGGAATACGGTACAGACTGTCTGCTATGAGTTTGAGATTCATATCAGCACATACTGTCGAAAGGAAATCATCAATCGCCCCGCATGATGGTCTGTGACAGACGTTTCTTCGACCATGGGGGTGGAGTTACAATCCAGAACTTAGAATCCAAATCGATCAACATGGCGCACGCGATTGGCGCTCCGGTTTGTCGTGGTTATTTGTCTTCAGTGAAGTCGTGGAGCACCGAATTGAATTCGATAAAGAGCCTCATCGCTGGTGGGTGACGCTAGACTGCCAGCCTGAGTATCGCCATAGTCGTTAGTCAATCCATCTGTTTATAATGTCTTCAGCACCTAGGAAGAAGGTTCTATTGAAAGTCATCATTCTGGGCGATAGTGGGTAGTGATAGGAGCAGCGTAGAGGATTCATGAATATTTGATCGCCATTTTAGGGTAGGGAAGACCTCTCTTATGAATCAGTATGTTAACAAGAAGTTCAGTCCACAATACAAGGTGATCCGGTGTCGGTTGTGCTTGTGCCCGATGGGGTTAGCTGTAGGCTACTATTGGAGCTGATTTCCTCACGAAGGAGGTGACGATTGACGACAAAGTGGTGACGCTTCAGATTTGGGATACTGCTGGCCAAGAGAGATTCCAAAGTCTAGGTAGTTTGTCCTTTTATCGTAGTGGCTAGTGCTGTTTTCAGGAGTGGCATTTTACCGTGGTGCTGATTGCTGCTGTTTGGTGTATGACATAACTAATCCCAAGAGTTTCGAGAGTCTGGATTCCTGGCGGGATGAGTTCCTCATACAGGTAGCCGTTGGAGATCTCCTTGCTTATATCGAGTATTATCACATCAGGCGTCGCCTAAGGATCCAGAGGAGTTCCCATTTGTGG